CAACACTTTGATGACATACTAGGTAGTTTGACTAAGTCCTATTAGTCTTTTACTCCTGTTTCTCAATATCCTTATCCCTAAGATATAGGAAGCTTCTCTGAGGTCCTTCATAGCAAAACACTTCCTAAGCCATGACTTAACTTCCTACATGGTTGGGATGTCATTTGCTATGGGTAGTATGTCATCTACATATAATACCAGAAAGCTGACTATACTCCCACTAGTTTTGACATATACACAGGACTCATCCTCGCGTCTCGAAAATCCAAATTCTTTGACTTTCTCATCAAAACAAAGATTCCATCTATGAGATGCTTGTTTCAATCCATATATGGATTTCTCAAGCTTATACACTCTATTAGGATACTTTGGATTGACAAAACCCTCTGGATGACTCATGTAAACATGTTCAGCCAACTTTCCATTAAGGAAAGTAGTTTTGACATCCATTTGTCATATTTCATAGTCATGAAATGCAGCTATGGCTAGCATAATCCTTATAGATTTAATATTCGCTACTAGTAAGAAGGTCTCATCATAATCAACTCCCGAAGTTTGAGTAAAGCCCTTCGCAACTAATCGTGCCTTATATGTGTGTACTTTCCCATCCATGTCGGTATTCTTCTTGAAGATCCATTTGCACCTGACTGTCTTTCGACCCGATACATTGTCAACCAAGTTCCAAACTTGATTGTGATACATTGACTGAATCTGGCTGTCTATTGCATCTTTCCATTTAGCAGACTCGGGGACTGCCATGGCTTCCTTGTAGTTGTTAGGTTCATATAAATTTACCAATGTTCTATCACTGATAAATGTATCACCTTCAGCTATTATATGAAAACCATATATCATGGGTGGAACATTAACTCTATTGGAACACCTAAAGGTACGGACTCTTCAATTAGCTCAATCAGAGTTTCCTCCTCAAATTGATTGCTAGTGTTTGAGGTTCCTTCACCGCTTGGTTCTTGAAGCTCTTCACGGTCATTTTGCCTCCCACTATCCCCTTGGCATATGAGCTCTCTCTCACAAAAGACTCCTCTCCTCGCAACAAAGATAACATTGTCACTCGGTCTATAGAAGAGATATCCAAAGGACTTCTGTGGGTAGCCGATGAAAATACATCGCTCACTCTGAGGTTCGAGTTTATCGTGAGTCTCGCATCTCACAAAAGCCTCACAACCCTAAACCATGATGTTGTCTCACGAGGGAACCTTCCTTGTCCACATCTCGTGAGGTGTTTTGGAAACCTTTTTAGTAGGGACTAGATTAAAGATATGGGTGGTAGTCTTTAAGGCATACCCCTAGAATGAGATAGGTAACGAAGCTCGACTTATCATGAAACAAACCATATCTAGAAAGGTTCTATTGCACCTCTCAACCACACCATTAAGTTGTGGTGTCATCGGTGGCATCAATTGTGAAACAATTCCACATTCCTTAAGATAGTTAAGGAACTCGATACTAAGATACTCTCCTCCTCGATTGGATCGCAACATCTTTATCTTCCTGCCCAATTGATTCTCAACTTCTTCCTTAAACTCCTTGAAATTTTCAAAGGTTTCTGACTTGTGCTTGATTAAGTAGACATAGCCATATCTACTGTAATCATCAGTAAAAGTCACATAGAAGCGGTTAGCATCCCTTGTGGCGGTTCTAAAAGGTCCACACACATCAGTGTGTATGAGATCCAACAAACCTTCACCCCTTGCACAAGTACCAGTGAGTGAAGGGTTACTTGGTCATCTTTCCAAGTAAATAAGATTCGCAAGTGTCATCCAACTTTACGTCGCATGACTCCAAAACTCCATCCTTTTGGAGTTGAACAATTTGCTTCTTGTTGACATGTCCAAGACGACAATGCCACAAGCATGCCTTATCCAAAACATTGGACTAATCAATATTCAACACATTATTTCCTAGGTTCATGAAGGAGAAAGAGCCTGAAGGAAATGTTGTTGAAGCATTGTTTGGGATAGACATCTGAAAAGAAGAAGAACAATTTTTTAGATTAGATGAGAATCCTTAATATTACACCCAAATAAAATATTAAAGCTAGGACCCAACACAATATTTTACAATTGCGAAGAGGGATACCATAATCCAACTGTAAAATATTTGAAGGTAGGAATATGATGATTTACCAATTTCCACCATGAAAAATGAAATAGGTTATTAAGTTTTAATTGGTTTGAAACTCCTAGATCTTTGATATTCATCGAACTTTTCAATAGCATGTTTAAATCTCGATTGTGCCCTTCAAGTTTGTGACTGGGATGCCGAGGATCACAAACAATGTGTGAATAACCATGCAAATTAACTTGGTACACCCAATGTTACAAATCACCTAATCAATGTGTCGGTTAACCACACACACTCCATTGATCTATGATTAACATCAAGCTACCCTTTGCCACACATTTTCAGTCAAATTAGTGTGTCGGTTAACCACACACGCTCCACTAACGACTTCACAAGGTGCAAAGTGTAATTTCATGGATTAGCACCATTTTCACATTTTTCCTAAACTAACTAAGATTGAGAATTTAATAAAAGTTTAGTCACAAAAAAGTGGGGAAATTTAAAATTTTAGTCACAAAAAAAATCCAAATATAGACATGCATTCCGCGGAGGTACCTCCACGGACCTCCGCGGATAGGGGTATTTTTGTAATTTACCTCCGCGGAGAGGGCCATTTTTGGTATTTCACCTTCATCTTTTCCACAAAACCGGACCCTCCTCTTTGGTTGTAACAGCCCGAAATCCAGGTATTCTTCTTTTGGCCTTGCATCTTGGTTAAGTTGATAAGTTAGGGTTTTCATGGTAGGCGAGTACGCTGGGCGTACAAGGTGTACGCTACGCGTACTCGCGTGCCTTATTTGGACGTGTTCACCCTCAGGTACGCGGGGCGTACCTAAGGTTACGCCCGACGTAACTTATTCAGATCCAAACATTAATTTCCTTTGGAGGGGCTATAAAAGGAATGTGTGGCTGGACTTCTCAACCACCATCCCTCAGAGTGAAACCCTAAAAAGAGTGTACCTTCGTTCTTTGGCCATTGTGAGTGTATTCTAAGCTTGGTGGTGCCATTCCAAGGTTGCAAAGGAGAAGAAGAGCTTGTTGGAGAAGCTAGAAGTGGTGCTCAAGTGTAGATCTGAGCTTTGCAAGGGTTAAAGCTTCATTTTCAGGTAAAAAGTTCGGATCTTGTCACTTGGTTCATGTTATATGCTTAGGGGTGTAAGTGAGCCGAGCTACTCGCGAGCTACTCGGGATCGACTCGCTAAAAGCTCGACTCGAGATCGAATTAAACAAGCCCGAGCCGAGCTCGAGCCGAGCTTCAGCTAGTGGGCTCGCGAGCCTAAAAGAGCCTAAACGAGCCTATATATATATATATATATATATATATATATATATATATATGTGTGTGTGTGTGTGTGTGTGTGAGAGAGAGAGAGAGAGAGTGTGTATATATATAGGCTCGTATAAGCTCGTTTAGGCTCGCGAGCTCACTAAATTGTTCACAAGCCGAGCTCGAGCTTCATTTTAAGGCTCGAATCAAGCTCGAGCTTCTTCAAAATTAAACAAGCCGAGCTCGAGCTTGGTTAGGCTCGGGCTCGGCTCGGCTCGTTTACACCCCTATAATATGCTTAAGATGTCATTTTCTAGGGTTTAAGTCCCAAAGGTGGATACTTTTTGTGCAAATGGCCTCCATAAGCTTAGATACTTCATATTTCTGATCTATTGGAGTTGTAGACTCATAAAAATGGCATCTTGGACGTGGGTATTGCACCATGCATGAGATCTAGGTCCTTGAGTTTGAATAGAAGGTTGTTATGTGATGTTGGAGCCTTTACAGCCATGCCAAGGCTTAAAGGTCTCGACTTTATGGGCTTAGACACACTAAAAGAGTCGGGTCTAGAAGTTGTAGTAACGGCTTAACCGATTAAGACCAAAAATGGAGAGTGGCTGATTCTGGTGGTTACGTTGGGCGTAACTTCCAGTACACGCAGCGTACTGGGTGGAGACCCCGATCGAGGGGGGTTGGCGATGTACGCCCCGCATACATCTAGCAGTACGCCCCGCGTACTCTCAAGGTTGACTTTTGTTGACTTTTAGGGTTTTGGTCAACATGAGGACTTTAGGTCAAGGAAGGGTAAAATTGTCTTTTACCCTCTGAGGAATGATGATAAGGGGTAAAGTTTTAGTGGTGGAAGTCTTTGTGTATTAAATGAAATTTTTATGTTTAGGCGAGGTTGAGCCGTCGTTTGGATTCGGTGATAGCGAGGATGCGAGATCTTAGACTTTCCACAAGGTGAGTTTTCTCACTATTTTGTACCCGGAAGGGTTTGACTGTGTGACCGGAAGGTCGAATATGATATGAGATATATGTATTATGTGTGATAAGTTATTCGTTATATGTGCCATGTATGATATGCTTGATATGTGTCGGAAGGCATCGTTGTGATGTGGACCGTAAGGTTGACGTGGGTAGGACCGGAAGGTTTACCTAGTCGGGACAGAAGTCCCCTGAGACACATGCACCGGAAGGTCAGGGCCTGGAAAGGCGTATGTGCGTAGGTTGTATTTTGGGGATCTCACTAAGCATGTATGCTTACAGTTGTTGTGTAATGTGTTTCAGGTACTAGCGAGGACCATGGGAAGGCGCCGGCGTGATCGTACACATTGTTGGGGAAAAACTATTTTATGATCTTTTGGGATGTATTTCGTTATGACAATATTGTTTACGTTTGAATTTGAAATGTTAATCGATGTTTTTGTTGTTACAAAAATGAAAAATTGGTTTTAAAATTTACGTCGTTACATTGGTCCCCCACTAGTCCCCCAATTCTCGTTTGCGAAGATGGGTCTCCGCGTCGAGTCTCCACCGGCTCTTCCGACAGCACTCCGGCGACCGATGACGACGATTCTCCGACTGCGCTCCGGCGACCGACTACGATGACGAAATCGGCTACCAAGATTGACTTCCTACAGTAGAAATGGAGGAGAATCTCCCCAATATTTTGAGCGACAGTTTAGGCTCCCGGGTAATTGTCAATTTTCCTTATTTCGATTAATATAGTATATGTTAGGAAATTGTTGAAAACCGGTTAGATTAAACTGAATTCGCAAAAAAAATCGATAAGAACTAAAAAAATTGGGTTAAGGGTTCGACGGTGGGCAAGATCCATTCCGCGGTGGGCAAGATCCATTCCGCGGAGGTTTAGGTCAGTCCGCGGAGGACCCTCCGCGGAATGAACCAATGCTCCACGAAATATAGAAAAGAGGGTCCGCGGAGGGTGGAGGTCTATCCGCAGAGGCTTCTGCGCGGAATGACCTAAAGCCTCCGCGGAGTGAACCAATGCTCCACGAAAATATAGAAAAGAGGCTCCGCGGATGGTGAAGGTCTATCCGCAGAGTCTTCTCCGCGGAATGACTTATATCCTCCGCGGAATGACCTTAAAAGTGATTTTGTAAATTTTATTTTTTTTTATGTTTCTATTATATGAAATTAAATTTAAATATTATGTTTTGCAGCACTTAGACCTCAATCAAAAAGCTGATTTAACTTTAAAAGGTGTGGTGGGTACCATCATTAATAAGTATTTTCCACGGCTAACACAATCACAACGACAATTATTTGAAGCCTCGCCATTTGGAATATTTTTAGGGATGCATATCCCACATGGTGATCCATTATTTGTGCATCTGATGATGTTGCACGAAGTAAGGACTCAAGAAGTATTTGAAATGGGGAGGTTTTTATTTGATATAGAAGGGAGGCATTTAGAATTTGGTGAAACGGAATATATTCTCATTTGTGGTCTAAAAGTTGCTCGTTATGTGGATTTACTCTACGACGAAAAAGGCCGATCAAATTCATGTCTTCGTGCTCGTTTGTTCCCAGACATTTCTGATGCACGTTTGCGGTTGAAAGATTTGGAAGACTTCATTATGTCTCCTAAATATTTGGAAGTTAAAGATGAAGATGTTGTGATGCTTATCCAGCTAGTGTTTGTGTTGAAGGGACTCCACGAACGCGACGTAAAAACGTGCATTCCCGCTACAATATACAATCTTGCTGATAATAGAGATGATTGGAACAGGTATTACATTTAAATATTGTGTATTAATATAATACAATAATAATAATAATAATAATAATAATAATAATAATAATAATAATAATAATAATAATAATAATCATATTGCAGGTTTGCATGGGGTATGTATCTTTGGAGGTATACTTCGCGGATGATGCGTGGAATGTTTAAAAAAATAGTAGAATTTAGACAATTCAAGGAGGCCAATCCCGAATCCAAGAAAATACACAAGTATACCGTTCCTGGTTTTATGCTGCCATTTAAGGTTATTTTCTAATAAATTTAATTATTTATCATTGTTTTGTTTTTATACGATAATAACATTCAACTTCTTTCTATAGATCTGGATTTTGGAGACTTTCCCCGAGGCAACCAAATTTTATGTACGCATCTCGACAGAATTGCCAAGGATGAGGTGTTGGAGAAGTAAATCAGTGTTATCTTGGGAGAACTGTTGTAGAATAATTAACGTGTCTGTGGTATGCTTTTTATATTAAGGATTATTTATACTTACATATTCCACGTATTTTCATTTGAAAGTAACAATTTGATTTTAATTTTAAATTTTTGCAGCCTAACAACCAACCTATTCAAGTGGTGGCAAACGAGACGGAGCTGATGTTACCCTTTTATGTTCGATACGTGAATTGGACTCTTAACCATGAAGAGTCTCCTCCACCGCAACATAGTCCGGTCCGAAACAGTCCACCTGCTGTTCAGTCGCCTCCTCGTAGAAGTATGTACAAGTCGGATACATGTTCGACTGAATCTGCCACAAATGCTTCTTCCTCGCAACAACCTGAAATAGAAACGAGGGTGCTAAAGAAGAAGAAGAGTAGCACAAAGGCATTAGTGAAACGTCTACTAGGCGCCGTGTCACACCCCGAAAACCAAAGGCGGAAACGTCCCCGGGGTTGACTCCAAGTTGTGTATCAAATCCAATGTACATAGTAATCACAGTAAACAAACATTACATTACATATATATGAAAGTTTACATTTGTTCATAAGTAAAGTTATACAAGTTATACATATGCATCATATAAACAAAAGTTGAGACGAGTCTTCCACGCACTCCGTCTTCATCAAAAGAGATCACCGGGTACCTGTCTAACTTGGACCTGAGAATACAAGCGGTTTGAAAATCAGCATAAAGCTGGTGAGTTCATAAGCGGTTTTTGTTTATGAAAATGTATCGGTTTCCTTTAGTTTCCGAAAAAGTTGTTATCCAAGAAAATCCCATATTTTCTTATGTAAAGTTGGTTAAGTTATCATTTGTTACCAATTCGGTTATGTATTGTATTCTACCCCAGGAAAATCCCATATTTTCCTAATTATAAAATTGGTTGTATAACACAAAGTATAGTTTAACATCCAAAACTATATAATGAAAATCTTGGGATCACTATCCCGAAAGACATATATAAGATAGTTTGACACATCCGAAAGTACAGGTTTAAGATCATGGGACTATCATCCCTGACTAGACACTAGATAAGTTGATGTATATATGTAAATATAGATTGAAACGATGGGATCACTATCCCGAATAAGATACAGATTTAGAAAACCATGGGATCACTATCCCGTATAAGATATAGTTAAAGACACAAAACCTTGGGATCATTATCCCGTATAAGATATAGATTTAGAAAGCCATGGGATCATTATCCCGTATAAGTTATAGATACGAAACCATGGGATCACTATCCCGTATAAATTATAGTTAATGACCATGGGGAAAGACATCCCGTACAAGATATAGACATAAAACCATGGGATCACTATACTAGATACTAAATAGTTTGGTTAATACCATGGGATCACTATCCCGAAAGAGATGTAAAATATAGATGCAAAACCATGGGATCACTATCCCGAACGAGATATAGTTTCTGAACCCAAACTGTGAATAAACTGATATTAATACGTGTTGTGAGTCGGGTAACCATACTAATACGACAACGTGACCTCCTTGACGTTTGTCAGACGTCAAACGAAATCCAGAAATTTGTCACCCTAGGCGTGCCCGCCTAACTGTAGCTAGCAGTTAAGGTGTGGGATTGTCAGTCCCGAATAGATCTATTCACAAATTCCGCGCTCTCCCTCTAGGAGAATCTGGTTACACTTCCGGGGAGGATTTACTGATCATCCATAAAGGGTAGTGACTATCTCACAAACCAGTACTAAACTATTCACAGGGTTCTCATAAGATATCGACATACAGTAGATTATGAAACATAGTACAATAACTATAGATACATACATGAAATTATCTGACGATACATTCAAATGATACGGAGATAAACTGAATCAGACATAGTTTATCTAATAACTTGGTATAGATATCAGTATACGATAGAAAGAACAGTAAGGACCCCCAAATTATTCCCATAATAATTTGATTAGTTTGATTGTTTCCTTAACTAAAATCCATTTAATTGAAATCGAATAGTCATTCCTTATGCTCAGCATAATACATAAGGAGTAAAAGAGTTTATAGGTTTGTCAGATATTGTTTGAAACACATCAATGTTGTGATTGGAAAAACAGTTATAGTTTGCTTGTATTCCCCCCCTGAAAACATTGAAAACAGTGAAAAAGCCGTAGGGGTATGAACTCACCGAACGAGATACGAGACGGTTTGGATGCTAAGAGTTGATCCGGAACTTGTAAACACACGAGGTTCCTAATTATCATGTAAAGATACACATTTGTATCTAATTAGGACTTAGATTGATTGTTGGATAGGAACAAATGCTTCAAGTCGCGATAACACTCCGATACAAGTGTTTGGAAGGACCCGGGTGGCGTTTAGGGACATGAATGACACAAGGGACTTGAGAAATGAGTTGGGACATCAAAGGAACACCCCCCTTTAGGGAGTTTACGGCCAAAACACCCATCCCCATGAGTTTACGGCCGTAAACTCATGATGGGTGGTTTATGGTGCAATTTGGAATTCCAACACTTAGGGGATAATTTCTAAACTTGGTTTAAGGACTTGGAATGATTACAAAACATCAAATAGACCCCCTTTATGGGAGTTTACGGCCTAGCATGGCTTCAAGGCCGTAAACCCCTATTTACCCAAGAAAATGATGTTAAATGGTGCTAGAACAAATCACATGTGATTGGTAGAATTAATCCAAGGCCTAACATGAGTTTGCAAGGGACTTTTGGGGTGTTTGTGGAGTTTACGGCCCATGAAACCCCCTTCATGGCCGTAAGCTCTAATACATGGTGCTCCAAGGTGTTTCAAGGTCTAGAACTTGCATGAAAGGACTTCTAAAATTCATCTAAGGGCCTTAGGAGTGTTTAGTTTGCATTCTAACACCAAAGATTTTGGAGTTTACGGCCCAAGAACAAGCCTTGGCCGTAAACTCTTAGAAATCCCATGAATGATGTGTTTAAGGTCCTTAAAGTATTTTTGGTTGGTCCCTTGATTTATTCCAAGGCTTTTGGTGGTGTTGGATGGCTTTCTAACACCTTAGAATTGGATTTATGCCAAGTGTTGGGGAGTTTACGGCCCAAGAACTCTCCTTGGCCGTAAACTCATCTAAATCCCCCAAAATTCATGTTTCAAGTGTCCAAATGCTAGAATCAAGGTCCTATAATTCATATCTAAGCCATAGAAGTGATTTGGAAGGGTTTAAGGGCATGAAAACCCTAATTATATGAGTTTACGGCCCAAGAATGATCCTTGGCCATAAACTCCTTCAAACATCACAAAAATTATGTTTTACATGTTTAGAGTCCATATCTTGAAGTCCCATAGCCATATCTAAAGTCCAAACTAGTCAAGGAGGGGTTTAAGGGCTCAAAACCCATCATTTTTGGTGTTTACGGCCTAAGCACCTTCTTAGGCCATAAACTCATATATATTGTCCAATTTCATGATTAAGTGTCTAGTTTGGAAGCTAAACATGCTATAGATTAAGGCTAGGAAGGTACCTTAAGGATTTGAAGCCTTAAAAATTGAGTTTTGGACCCTTAATCTTTGGATTTTGGAGAGAGGTTAGAGAGAGAATAGAGAGAGAAGGAAAAGCTTCAAATGAAAGCTGAAACATGTTTATATAGTTCCTAAAATTTGCACACGGTGGAATTCTACCCGATACCGACGTTAAACGCGGCTTTTGGACGCACCCGATTTAGTTTCCGTCACTCGACGGGAACATTTTTAAAACTTATGAAATAATGATTTTTGGGCTAATAACATAAGTTCCTGAGTGATTTAGACACTCATTAGAAATAAATAAACATATAAGTTTATATAATTAACTCCAAAGAGAAGACGGAACGAATCCGATAACGGCGACTTTCCGGGTAGAACGGGTTTTGGCGATGAACAAATTTCGGGTTGTTACACGTCGTGGCTGAATTATCATCTAAAGTAGACCGTGTATCAGAAGAAAAAATGAGCCAAACAAACGGATTGTAGAGGATGAGGAGGAAAAAGAGGAGATGATAAACGAAGAGGGAGAAGAAGCATATTGCCATGATACGCAATTCGACTATGCTGGTTTGGAGGAGAAAGTTACGCCTACACCTACAGAGCCGTCACTAGACTTGGGTGAACATGACACAAAAATAGTGACTCCTATTGGTAGGCCGTAACGAAAGAGGGCTCCAGCATGGTATCAGCGCACTCTGTTCACAGTGGTAAAAAACTTATATCTTAAACTTGGTATTTTTAAAAAATACTACATTATTGATAATGATTAAACATGTTGATTGTTTAGGTGCAATCGACACCAAAAGTAAAGAAAATCAGCAAGACAAGGAAGAAAAAAATAGAGGAGAGTCCTGAAAAAACAAATGAGGACATTGTCAATGCAGAGAGTAGTGATGTTCCTTCAAACAACCTCTTGTTGGATAGTATTTATACTATTAGTTCGATGACTTTTTGGCAAGAATGGAGTTTAATCTCTCCCAAACTGATCACTAAACATAGGTTGCATATCCTCCCACTAGATATGGATTTTTGGGCGAGGTTACTTTCGGTTAGTGACAAAGGGTGGTTACATTCTATAGTAACATTCCTTTAATTAAAATTTTAACTATTTTTTAGACAAAAATGTATATAAATAATTCTAACATTTTTATATTAAAATGTATAGCATATTACCATATGGAGATCCCTGTTGATGGATAGGCGGGCGATGAATGCTCAGTGGACTGTATATCCTGAAGGAGTCAATTTGGAACCCGGAAAATCATATGTGTTTAGGAAGGTAGCAGATGGTTTTGGAGGTTGTCCTAAATGGAAGGATGTGGATATGGTTAGTTAAGTTTAATAATTATTATTTTATATATATATTACTGAAATTACTAGTATTTAATTTATAATTTTTTTTGCAGGTTTTATTTGTAATAAATGTTGTGCATGCCCATTGGTTTTTGGCGGTTCTACATTTAGATACCTGGAAAGTAGAAATTTTTGATTCAGCACGAGTTGCGGGTTACTTCTCAATGTACAACACTAATGGGGAATTCAAAAGTTTTGGAGATAGTATTATCTCAGAGTTGGATGCCATTGATTACTGGAGCCATTTCCCCATTGGACATAGAGACAAAGCAAAGGTCGAGTTTGTTGATGTTGTAGACGCCCCACAACAAGAATATAGTCTTGAAAGAGGGGATTGTGGAGTATTTGTATGCATGTTCATGGAAATGATTGTTTCTAGGGTACCAGTGGCGATTTCAGGGACACCTAGAGAAGGTGCATTTCTCTACAGAAATAAGATGGCAAATGTTATTTGGGATACTATATAAGTTGATATTAGGAACTTTATATATATATATATATATATACATATATATATATATATATATATATATATAAATATTAAATACTTGTTTCTAGTATGTAATCGTATCACTTCTGGTAGTATGTAATCTTGTAATTATCTTTTATATTTTTTAAACATAATTCACCAACAAATGTTACGAAACCATACATTGAAACAAAATAAACATTACAAATAACATGAATAAATTACAATAGAGTCGTCTACATAAAAATAAGGTTTCTTATGACTAACAAACATTAGATAAAACATTGGAAGTAAAATACTCATCTACATGAAAAAAGCTTTATCTTTTACCAGATTCCAAACGTTCGTATACTCGAAATCATGTCCATCAAACTCGCATAGGTAATATCCATTCACATCTTCAAGAAGTTCTTCGTCATCTACTTGAGAGCGTCGCATTTTCTCACGATTGTAGCATCGATTGAACCATGTGACCTTAAACTTTAAATCCATCCATTTACTAACAATATTAGGTTTTAGTCGTTCGTGTCCTTGCCCGACCTGATAGTTGAACAAAGCTATGAGGCGGGACCATTCATCACCTACAAGGCAATTCAGGGGAGCCACTACTGGTAGACCCTCGTAAATGGTAATCCAGCTTTGTATTAGGACCAACAACTCTGTTGGCATCCATGGAGATGTACAATTTGTTGGAGAGGCTACATTAGATGGAGTTGTTGCATTCGAAGAACTTGGTACGTTGGACGCCATTTCTTAATTGATCTACTATCAACTAAAGAATCGAATTTCGTATAGACACTAGGTTTAATATATATACAAACGTATGTTATACAAAGATATGTCAGTAACGCAGACTGACGAATCAGTAACGCGGACTGACGAGTCAGTAACGCGGACTGACGAGTCAGTAACGCGGACTGACGAGTCAGTAACGCGGACTGACGAGTCAGTAACGCGGACTGACGAGTCAGTAACGCGGACTGACGAGTCAGTAACGCGGACTTATGAGTCAGTAATGCGGACTGACAACGAATAATATATATATATATATATATATATATATATATATATATATATATATATATATATATATATAAAGTTTCTTAACGCGGACTAATGAGTCAGTAACGCGGACTTACGAGTCAGTAATGCGGACTGACAATGAATAATATATATAAAAAGTTTCTTAATGCGGACTGAGGAGTCAGTAACGCGGATTGACGAGTCAGTAATGCGGAATTACGAGTGAGTAACGCGGACTGACAAATAAGCTACGCTTAATGACAATACATTTACGTGGACTGACAACTAAGTTGTGCAGAATAATGTATACTAATTCCTTATAAATTGGACCACAACAGCTCTCTGAGGAGTGGAAGGGACTGTATATAGTCATCGATGGTCATCGGATTATTCGTATAGAGTTATAATATTTTTTCAAATTTAAAATGACTTCATCTTCATCTTCATCTTTGTATATTTGCTCGTGCAACAAAGTTGATTGTTTCCATTGTGATCCGATCGACCCTTTTCTTGCACCATCACCAAATTTAAGAGAGCCATATATGTCAGAGGATACTTTGCAACAACTACAATGGGCTGAAGAACAACAAAAAAAAATAAAGACTCGTCTCGGGCTCTCACTGAACGTCGTGACCTCATTGTGGCGGAGTGCAAAGATGTTGAGGAAAGGATGACGATTACAAAAAAAATAAAAAATCAAAGATCATGAGGAATGGATAAAAAAACTAAGAAGAATCTCAAACTGTCTAAAAAATGGCTTGCTAAAAAGGATGCAGAAATGATAGAACTTGGTAGGAAAAAGGACCGTATGGAAGATAAAATAAGAATAAGGGACGACTACATAACAATGGAGAAAGAAAAGTATCCTTTGAAATTCCCCTAAGTTAATTACCGTTGTTGTACGTTTACTATATGTTTCTAGTTTGTTCATTGTATTAAGTTCAAGTATTAGTTATTACTCTACTAGTAATTATGCAGTAATATAATCATAATATTACCCATCATCTTTAAAATAAACACACCAGCTCAAAGTAGACAAATTAATGTCCTCTAAAACAAAACATAATTAATTATAAATACAACATCAATCATTCAAATCAAACGTTGAACAATAGTCTTCTCTCTGCATCCCACTCGTCTAACGCATCTCTTGTGTCCCGTGCGTCTCTAGCGTCTCCTGAGTCCCTTCTGTCCCTTTCCCTTTTCCTTTTGTGTTACTACCTGATGTCGTACTACTTTTTCTAGCCTTTTTTTGTTTCTTTGGGACCAATGTCGGGGAAGTCGCTGCATTATGTGTTGTACTATCACATCTACTACACCTTCTTATTATAGGTTCCTCACCTTGAGACGGAATACGATTTCTGTTTCTCGGTCTACCCGCTTGACATGTATCCATTATCGGGGGTTTCACAACCATTATGTCAGTAGGAATCTCCAAATCACACGGTTCTGGAAGGGGGTAAACTGGCTCCTCATACGTACTTCGGTATGTTTCCATTTTGTAAGCATCTATAGCCAGATGTCCCAAGTTACTTTTTTTCAAGTGCTTCAAGACCATTATCACATGACCACAAGGCAACCCAGTTCCTTCCCAATATTTGCATGTACAAGTCTCTTTTCTCAGATCAACTACGCCACCATGTTTGAAATCATGAACTTCATAAAGTGCATCTGAAACACTAGAAACGGACCATCCTGTCGTACGCTCTTCATTTTTACTAACTACTTTTTCAACCCACTCGGTTAGAACGGTTGAACGTTTCCCTATAAACAAGATATATATAATTAACTAATTATTCGACCCAACTAAAGTCAAAATAAAATTCATACCTCCTTCGATGCGATGCTTGTAACACCATTCCTGTGAAAGATGCCGGAAGAACTCAAGAAGGGGTATTATAGGCATCTTCCTTGCATCTACAGATAAAGCATTCATGGACTTTGCACTGTTCGAGGTCATGTAATCGTAACGTTTCGACGGCGAATATGCTCTAGTCCAGTTAGCATGGGGAATTTCACTTAGATACGCTGCTACTTGTGGCCTAGTAGAACTAAATCTATACCATAATTCTTCAAAAACATTTCTTTTGTAAGCTTTCACAAGCCTCCAAAACAACACTTTCGTTTTATCATTTTTCCCAAACTTGTGTACTATGTTTCATAGTATATGAAAAGCACACAAGCCATGATGAGCATGTGGAAAAACATTTTCAATACTAATGCGAATTGCATCGGCCCTGTCAGTTACAAAAGTCAATTCTTGACAATCACCAACACATTCATACAACTTTTCAAGAAACCATGTCCACGTAAGACCACTCTCTTTTTTGCATATTCCGTGCGCAAGGGGAAGTATCTGGTTGTTCCCATCCATAGCTACTGCATGATATGGTTCCCTTAAAAGCACCCTTCAAATGGGCACCATCCATAATTATAACTTTACGACAAAATCTTTTGAACACTCTATCTGCAATATATAAAAATGGAACACATAAACACTCTATAATTTGTTTACAAAAATTATATATTAAATAACAACTTTTTTGTATTTACCATGCTCACAATGGCATAAAAACAACACTCGAAACAATCTTCAGAATCTATTTGAATATACGCAACTGTATCGGGATTATGCCTCTTCAAATTGTGAAAATAAATAGGAAGTTTGGCAAAACATTCTTCAGAGGATCCCAACAATAGTTCCATAGCATATTGTTTTGCACGCCAATTAGTTTGTAATCTACGTTGATTTCCAGCAAAGCATTCAAATCCCTTGATATTTCATTAGGTCTCCAAACCTTGGAACGATTTTTTCCCATAATCTCATGCAATATAGTACACATGAATTTTTTTTATTAGCATGCTTATGATTAGGGTGTATCTGTAATGACGAACATGTGTGCACATTGTTGAAAGTCCTGATTTCAAATTCATCAGTGAGATGATGGCGTTTTGCATACAAACACCAACTACAGTTCTCAATTTCACAATATACCTCATAATGATTTTTGTTAGAGTGTTTGGTCTTAAACTGAAACTTTTCTCTTGTTGCTTTAAGACTCAAAGCAAAAATTAGTTGTTGTTTGTTGTCATATGTTTGACGAACAAACATATCATCATTTGGACCTAAACTGTGAAATGGTCCGGGTTCCACAATAGGATCGGGACAATCAGGTATGGGAGGCATACCGTAAAATATGTCTGAAGCTTTTTTCCTGGGTGTGAACTCATCTTCTAACCATCCTTCATTTGACTCTTCACCGTCTGAGATAGTTTTGTCGGTCAGTCTTCCAAACTCATATAAATTTTTTTCTTCAACCATATTCAGTGCCACAGTTTCTTCTTCTGGACAATCTTCAACATTATCAGAAACAATGTTTTCAACATTGTATGGTACAACTTTCTTAGTTGCTTCTGTCTGTTCGACCAATCCTTGAAACACCTCTAAATACAAATGCACAATCTCCTTCGTTTCAGAAATTACATTTCTGAGTTGATAAACATCTACTTCATCTAAAATATTCATCACATACCCATGAACCGGGTGTTGAAATGACAATGATATATTACTATTGAACACCTTAGCCTTACTTTTGACCAAATCAAACAATATCCGACAATCAAAATTAGGCAGAAGCAGTAAACCCATGGTGTTTAACTTTGGTCTAACGTAGGTGTTAATCCCATTACTTATCTGCCAAAAACCTCCAGTACATAAAATAACAAAACTCATATTTGGTTTTGAAAATCAAATGAAAACGAACTGATCTATCGACCAAAGTGAAACAAACATATGAAAAAAAAACTTTTGCATCAAAAAACTCTTCAAAATCAGCTCCAACCACCCATTCCGCGGAGGCATTACTTTCTCTGCGGAGCTCCGCATCCTCCTTTCCGCGGACTCAGTTATGACTTCCAACTGCTTCCTCCTCGGAGGCATCACTCTCTCCATGGAGCTCCGCGTCGACCTCTCCGCAGGGTATTTACGAGATCCTAGCAGCTCTCTCCGTGGAGGTTATATTGAATCTGCAGAACCCCTTCCGAGGAGCATGCTTAAAAAGCTAACAACCTATCTTTCGGTCACTACGCAGAGATGACATCATTCCACGGAGGTCCGTGGAGGGCCCTCCGCGGAATGCTTGTCTATAGCTGGAATTTATTTTTTGTGATTAAATTTTTAAATTTCCCCCCTTTTTTATCTATACCCGATATTTTCTCTATATTTATCATTATACTTTTAATGAAGGGAGAATTAGAGTCTTATACCCCCCTTATAGACCGACTTTGTGAATGAGACCTACTAACGGTAAGACTGACTACTCTTATACATACATACATACATACATACATACATACATACATACATACATATATATATATATATATATGTATATATATAATTAAACTTATAATATTATAAAGTATAAGGGTTGAATTTAAACATTTAAAACTCTATGGTTTGGAATTAAAGTTTCATTGACGAGACTCTAAAAATTCCAAAACTTGAGAGCAAGTTTTGAAACTTGTCAAAACTCCTCCCATTCATAACTTATGAGTTTAATAGGATTTTAATGTATGAGACCTTTCATTTTCCATAACTTGAGGACTAGTTATGGAGGCCATTAAAAATCATTTAGATCATTTTTCTAACAACTAAAATTATCACATAACTAGGCGAATGACCGCGCGTCGCGCGGAAACATCTATATAGTTGAAGTCTTTACAAATATATGTTTTCTTTTTAAATATAACAATAACGTTGTTGTTAAATTTGATATAATAATTTTTATAGTAAATTTGATTATTTTGAATTATATGATAATATATACATCTATTATAACTTTATAATCTCAATCGAATGAATGACTACTACCCGCGAGTTACACATGAATAAAATTAAATATAATATATGGTTTAATGTTATTTATAATTGTTGTTATTGTTAACTAATTTTTTTAAAATTTATATGCTTAATGTTTTAATTTCTATCATTATAATTATTTAAAACATCAAACATTATTTTTTGATTTTAAAGGTACCAATATAATCATTTATATAGAGTTATTGTTAACTATTGTTATTGTATGTTATTTTAAGCTACTTATTTGAAAACTTTTAACGATTATAAAAATATCATTAGGAATTATTTTAGTTAAATTGATATTACAATTTATTTTTTGCATTTATCACTATAATTTATCACTTTTAACTATTTACAAAATATTCTTTAGATTTTTAAGTGGAATTGAAATTTATACTTAAGTTGACATTATAATGTTATATTTATGTTCACGATTTAAGTATTTTGTCCAAACTTTTCAAAAGTTGTAGCTTTATACTGATAATGGTTTACATTTAACATCATATTAAATGTAATAAATTAAGTATAATATGTTAAAAGTTAAATACATAACTTTATAAATAGAAGTAAAGATATTATTTTAAAATTGAAATTTAATTTATTTATGATTACAATTCAGGTTTGGTATTTATTTAACTTTACTAACCAATTATAACTATTATTAGAAAAAGACATTATAATTTATCACTTTTAACTATTTACAAAATATTCTTTGGGTTGATTAAGTTAAACTAAAATAGTTAACCCTGTAATGTTATATTTAAATTTATAATTTAAGTATTTTATACAAATTGTTCCAAAATTGTATATTTAAAATGATAACAGTTTACATCCAACAATATATTAAAACTAATAAATTAAGTATATTATGTTATAAGTTAAAAAACATAACTTTATTAGTAGAAGTAAAAATATTATTTCTAGATTGAAATTTAGTTTATATGATTACATTTTAGGTTTGAAAATTATTTAACCTACTTTACCAAGTTATAATTATTATTAGAAAGAAATTAAAAAGTCATGGGAGTTTCAAATGAATGTGGTGAAAGGAAAAATATATGAGAGTTTCAAATGAATGTGGTGCAAGGAAAAATGCTTCCTTTATAAGTATATAATGATAATGATAATGAAATGATGATTTCTGATCTAACTAAACTCATAATCAAGATAATTTCAAGTTAACAATTTGAAAGCAATTTTGTTTATCATATAAAGAAACAATTATTTTAAAACTTTGACAATTATCTTGTGGTTGGATGAGTACAAGCACTACCATATCACAAAAAATATTTCCAATGATCCAAAACAATTTGTGGTAGTGTTCCAAATAGGGATGGCAATGGGTACGGGTATACCGGGTTTCGTGTTCCCCATCCCCATACCTGAATCCCAATCCCTATCCCCATACCCGACCTCATACCCATCGGGGATTAAAAATCTATCCCCATCCCCATCCCCAATTGGTATCGGGGATCCCCAATGGGTAATCGGGAATTTTTCCCCATTACAAAGTTTTGAACTTTTATGAAAAATAACTCATAAATATATATTAACCAACAAAACAAAAACTAACAGAATTAATATAAAACACTATAATCACTGAATGTCTTCAACACGAACAATAACATTCAAGGTTACAAATTAAATCATTCTTTGCAAAAAGAGACATAAAATGTCTTCCCAAAACTATACGTTTGATTGTTAGAAAATCTTATTTTGTCTAATGAACATTTGCTTATGCATTATTAAAAATAAAAACATAAATAATATATATATATATATATATATATATATATATATATATATATATATATATATATATCGGGTACCCATCGGGGCCGGTTTCGGGTACGGGTATGGGTACCCGACAGGTAAAACCATCCCCATCCCCATCCCCACTTTTTATTTTCGGGTAATACCCATCCTCGGTCAACTCGGGGATTTACCCGGTCAACTCGGGTTAGGGTTTTGGGTACCCGTTGGGTACGGATTTTTTTGCCATCTCTAGTTCCAAATCCAAACCAGACCAAGAAACTCAAAATTCTGCATATAGAGCCTTCAACTCGTCGAGTGCACAAACTGGACTTGGTGAGTTGCTCTGTTACTGAGTGCACTAGTCGAGTCTGTTCATGGACTCGGTGGTTTCACCAGTTAAAGGCCAAAATTTCAACTTTTCCAGCTTTGAAAAATTAGTGAGCATCAAATATATTAGAAAACAATCCTAGGCTCTGATACCACTGTTGGGTTTTGAGCACTATAACACTCCTATGGTGCACATGCAACCGTAAATTCTTTGGATCTATGTTTGCTCTAATTATACATGCATTTTGTTTTTCCAAAGAATTCACCCTAGCTAGCATACAATTGAAGCTATATAATAAAACTTAGTTTGGATGCTTACCTCTTTAGTAGGGTAGAGTTCTTGACCTTTGAAAGCTTGACAACCTCAATTTTGATGCCTCTAATGGTTCACAAACACCAATATGCAAGAGGAGGCTTTAAGATAATAAGTTATTTAACTCAAAAGAGTGTTTAGTCGATTTTGGCTCATGTGGGTCTATTTATAATGTGGAAAATGCTGGGGTTACACTTTGTAAACCCTAATGATCCATGACTTTTCACGTTCTTATGCTCCATGGGTTTAACCTCCATGGACTATCCATGGATTATCCTATTGGTTTAGCCCATAATCATGGATCATTAGCCCATATTATAAGGATCATTAATTTACATTATCAATCTCCATATATTTAATTAGTCTCTTTTGAACACAAAATTAATTCCAAATTAATTCTTGATCAATATTAGTTAAATAATATGATTCCATATACTATACTTATAATATATTAATAAATCTTAAATAACCTTATTCTCAAAAGTCCATCCTATCAATTGCACTGGTGAAGGCAACCCAAAAGGACCATGCTACTATCGGGTCAAGTACATCTCAGTTATAGTTATGGGCTTAGACACCAAATCCAACAAATACATGTTGATATAGACCCTTCATATTCACCACAAGGGATGACAATTCGATTCGTCATGATTTACTGATGATTCGGCAAATATGATTATGTTTATAAGACTAAGTATAATTGTGATAATTTTCAAAAGGTTCAAAGAGTACCAGAATGAACTGAATAATCTATTAGGTAGAAAGATTAAAAAAATCTCTAATTTGAAACGAAGGGAGGGTGTTTTAGTGTCATTTTTTATGATAATCTTAGTAATTGTGGAATTGTATCACAATTAATCCTCCAAGAACATTTTAGTTCAATTGTATGACTAAGAAAAAGAATCAAACATTATTGGAAATGGTTCGATCATAGATGAGTCATACATTGTTCCAGTCAAGTTTTACATCCATGATCTTGTAACTACATATCATATCTTGAAAATCATTTCAAACTAAGAAAGAGGAAGACACCTCATAATATGTGGAGTAAAGAATGTTTCTTTACTCTAGCATGTTTAGAATCGGAGTTTTGATGTTTTTTGTTAAGCGGGACACAAAAGATAAACTTAGATGAAGTATATGACGTGTTTGTTGGGTTAGGTGTCTAAGCCCATAACTAGTTTTGGTATGTACTTGATTTGATTATTAGGTGTCTAAGCCCATTGAGACTCCCACTGACTCCTTGACATATAAGATTCTCTTGTCAATAAACATTTCCCAACAAACAAATATTCAAGAGTTAGTGTAGCTTTTATCAAGACAAAACACTTCATAAAATTGGTCCTAGTTGGTCTTTGTCTTATCCAAGACATCACAACTTTCCAATTTCAAATGTTCAATAATAAGAAAAACTTTTCAAAATTCCACCTTTGATGAATGTTATAAACTTTCTTAAGACTTGTCACTCAATATCACAATCTTAACTCTAAGACTTGTTTTTGAAACGAAGTATGATTGGCATCTTGATTTAACCATTTCTTCAATTCTCGATTCCTCTTCTCATACATACAATTGCACTAAGACTCACTTAGAGGATCAATTGAGATATGGATCTTAATCATTAAGAACTATCATAAAACATAATAAAAGGTACTCTCCCTTCTTCTTAGAATGGAGAAACTTTTATCTTTCTGCC